ACACCACTCTGTGAAGTGGCAGATAGACTGATGGTACTGTAGGTAGTGATGGAATTATTGTCTGTCAGGAGGGCCAAAATGACAGTGTCATCGGAATATTTGAAGTATGTGGTGGTTGAGGATGGGCTAATGCAGTCGTTTGTATAGAGGGTGCACAGGAATGGACTTAATACACACCCCTGGGGGGCGCCAGTGTTGTTGACGAGGATGAATTATGTCAGTGAGTCGACAGCCTGTGGTCTATTGCTGAGGAAGTTATGAGGCCAGCGAATGAGGAATGGGGGCAGGTTGAGTTGGTGTTTTCTGATTATTTGAGGGCGCTGAATTGTGTTGAATGCTGAGCTGAAGTCGATAAACAGGATGGATGCAGACGTACCAGGTAGTTCCAGATGTCGAAGGAGGGGGGGGGGAGGAGACATGAAACAGAATCCTCTGTTCCTCATCTGGCTCTGTATGTGAAGTGGTGGGGGTCCAGCAGGGGTCTGACGGTCGGGAGGATGGAGTGAAGTATGAGTCGTTCTAGGCATTTCATGATGATGGAGGTAAGCGCAATGGGTCTGTAGTGGTTTTGTTCAGATGGTCTGGGCTTCTTGGGACCGGGATGATTGTGGAAGTTTTCCAAGCTGTGGGAATGTGTGCCAGCCTTAAGGAGTCCCAGAAGATGGAGGGAAGGACCGGTGACAATTCCATGGCACACAATTTTAGCACCAGGGCCTGGTGCCTTGCCCACCTTGCACCTGCTAAGTTGCAGGTGTACATCCCCCTCCGTAAATGGGGGCTGAGATGGGGTGTCCAGGGGCAGGGCACTGAGCAGCTCTTCACAGAGGGCAGAATGGTTGACTGAGTCAAAACGGGTGTGAAAATTGTTCAATGAATTTGCAAAGATGGTGGGGTCTGTTGTTACGTGGTGACTGGAACTGGGGGTCTGACCGGTGAGGAGCTTAATATTCTGCTAGGCTTGTTTAGTGTTCATACTGCCAAACTCATGCTCAAGTCTATCTCTAAACTTAAGTTTGGCTTTCATAATATCATTTTTAATCTGTCTGTTGAGTGTATTGACAGTGCTCCAGTCATTTAGATGAAAGGCTGCATGAATTTCATTCATACTGTTTTTGATGTGAGAAGTGATCCAGGGCTTTGAGGTGGGATATTTTTTTAAGTTTTTGGTAGGTATTGTTGATAAAATACAGAACTTGATATAGTCAGTGATTACTGAGACCTTAAAATCCAGGTCCCCGACAGGTAGTGCGGGAGCAAAACAACAACATTGTGGTCGGAGAAGCTGAGTGGTGCTTGCGCTTGAGCTATAAACGCATCAGAAATGTTCCCGTAACGTAGATCCAGCGTGTTTTGCTTCCTCGTGGGAATATCCACATACTGGTGCAGTGACGGCATGACAGCGTCGAGTTTACAGTTGTTAAAATCACCCACAATAAACAGCGGAGCATCGGGATTCCTGGCCATCATTGAGCTAGCATCCTCGGCTAGTAGCTCCGCTGCTACCTTGATGTTAGCACTCGGGGGCACATAAACACAGCTGATCACTAAGCAGGGGAATTCCCGTGGGAGATAAAATGGTCGTAAGGACAGAGTCAGCAGTTCTAAATCCGGGGTGCAGATTGTGCGATGGATTTTGATGTTAACGCACCACCGCTTATTTACGAAGATGCAGACTCCGCCATCCTTTCGCTTCCCGGTCCTGTCCACCCAAAAGATGGCTAATTGATTGAGACTGACCTCAGAGTCAAAGATGGTTTCTCAGGTTCTTGGTTGAAAACGACTCCAAGATTCCTCACAGTGTTGCTGGGTACTGTGCTGACATTGTCGAGAGTGAGTAGGATCACTTCTGTCTTCTCTGAGTTAAGAAGTAGAAAGTTAAGAGTCAATCTTTTAGGAGACATATTTAAGTCTTTTATGCAGGCACTAAGCCTTTTCAACTGATCTGTCTGATTTGGTTTCATCAGGTAAAGCTGTGTGTCATCTGCATTGTAGTGGGAGTTAATTCCATGCTTTTTAATGATCTTGCCTAACGGCAGCATGTAGAGTGTGAAAAGAATCGGTCCGAGCACTGATCCCTGTGACACACCAAATTCCACTCCAGAATAAGGCGACGAGTTACGATTCACCATGATACCGATCTGATAAATAGGATTTAAACCAGCCAAGGGCTGTTCCCGACCTATGTCACATTCCAGCTTCCGCAGTAGAATGCTGTGGTCTATTGTGTCAAATGCAGCGCTGAGGTCCAGTAGGACCAACAATGACACCATCACCAGTAGCTAGTAGTAAGTCATTGGTGACTTTGACTAGTGCTGTTTAAGTGCTATGACGAGCTCTGAATCCTGATTGAAAGACTTCCAACATATTATTATCCTGCATCCTGCGTATCTGCTTCCTTAACATAAATGGAAGCTGATTCCACAGTAAAGGAGCTTGGTAGCTAAATGCTCTGCCGCCAACAGTGATTTTTGAGACCTAAGGAACAACCAGACGTCTGGTGTTTTGTGAGCGCAACGCTCAACTTGGTTGATATGACACTAACGTGTCTTGGAGATAGGAAGGAGCCAAGCCATTTATGGCTTTATATGTTAAGAGAAGGATTTTAAACTTTATTCTGTACTCCACAGGGAGGCAGTGGAGTGATTTTAACGCTGGAGTTATGTGCTCCCTCCTTTTGGTACCTGTTAAGATCCTTGCTGCTGTATTCTGAACGAGCTGGAAGCTCTTCAAAGAGGTTTTAGGGCATGCTGCCAATAAAGCGTTACAGTAGTCAAGTCTTGAGGTGACAAAAGCGTGAATACGTTTTTCCGCGTCACTTTTAGGAAGGAAATTCCAAATTTTAGCGATGTTCCGTAAGTGGATGTACGCCGTTTTAGTTGCTTGGCTTATATAAGCCTTGAAGGAGAGTTCTTGGTCAAAAATTACTCCAAGATTTCTCACAGTGTTACTGGGTATAATACTGACATTATCGAGAGTGATTATCTGGTTAGTAAGCTTTTCTAGCTGATCTGTCTGATTTGGCTTCATCGACAGATAAAGCTGTGTGTCATCGGCATAGCAGTGGAAATTAATTCCATGCTTTTTAATAATATTTCCTAACGGCAGCATGTAGAGAGTGAAAAAAATTGGTCCGAGTACCGAACCCTGCGGCACACCAAATTCCACTCCAGAATAAGGCGACGAGTTCTGATTTACGTTGACGAAGTGATACCAATCTGATAAATAGCATTTAAACCAGCCAAGGCCCGTTCCTCTAAGACCTATATCACATTCTAGCCTCTGCAGTATAATGCTATGGTCTATTGTGTCAAATGCAGCACTAAGGTCCAGTAGGACCAGCACTGACACTTGTCCATTATCAGCAGCTAGTAGTAAGTCATTTGTGACTTATACAATACATATACAATAAGTGAAGATGATGAGGATCATTAGGCAGCAGGTGGATTGAACCAAAGACAGAACCAGGACTCCAGCCAATGCTCCAGGCAGACGCAATTGGGAGGGTGGGGGGTTGACGCAGGAACCAGAACCTTGACAATACTCTCCCATTCATAGTTACACTGAAATGCAGGCTGCCTACATTATATTCATTATGTTTGCAATAATAGAATAAGTTTCCTGTTTCTCTGCTGTGTTCCGTCCACCCACACACTCTGATGCAGGATCTTTTGACCTGATTGGCTGTCAGCTGCAGTGCACAGACCAGGGGCCTCGGGCTGGAGCAGTCATGGGAGTAAAGATTGGATCATGTGCAGGGCTGGACAGGAAAAAAAAAAAAACGGCCTGGGCATTTTTGCCTTCTTGCCGGCTCAGACGTTTTCTTTTCATGTTTTTTTTTTACGGTTTTTGATACAGTATGCGGAAGCACATACAGTAGAGGATCAAGATGTAAGCGTTTTCAACAATTAAAATAAAGTGCAATGGTTTACATTGAGAGGGATGAGAATGGAAAATTTCATAAAAGTCTGAAATGTACAATGTCTGTTAGATTCAAATCTGTTTGATTTGCTCACAACATTTTGCATTTAATTTAGGGGAGACACAGACTGTTTCTTGCAGTGCTGTATTTATTGTGTGCACTGGTTACGCAAAGAGACGCACACAACAAGCAGAGTTCCGGTCCTATACGTGTATATGGTCTTGAGTACATGGCCACTTTACGGCTGCGCTCTCCCGTGTTGTCAAAGCGGCTCACAGCTGCTAGACACAGGAACCGCTGTCATTACAAAGTGGCAACAGCAAGTGCCGCGCAGTCACGCGCGCCTCCCTCGAACATTTCTCAACAGATTTACACATTTCACAAAAATGATTTAATATGGGCATCGGCCCTTCGGACATTACCCGGTACAGCCAATGGCCAGTCCAGCCCTATCATGTGACCAAGAAGATTTGAATGTTTGTGACACAATGAGATACAAAGTTGAGCTTTAAAAAGTGGTAGAGCATGACTATGTTGGTGAAGCTGAAGTTGGCTGGATGACACCGTGAAAGTCAATGGCTCATTTGTGATAGCGGCAGAAGGCAACATAAAATGACACAGTGGGGTAGCATTACTTTAGACACCTGCTCAAGAGCATCCCCACTGTCAAACCTGGTGGTGGCAGTATTGTGCTATGGGCCATGGTTTGTCATTGTCAAGACTTAAACCCAATTTGTAATCTGTGGAAATATCTAAAAACTGACAAAGGCTCTTTATCTAATCTAAAGACATTCCTCTAAAGACTTGAAACTGTAAAATACATAACATGAATATTTAATATTACTTTATAGATACACTATTATTATTTTTTCTTTTTTTTTTAGAAACATTACATCAGAATTACTCTGGTGTGTGTTTGAATGGTTGGTAGTGGTCAAAGGGGCTGACTGCACAGTCTGGTTGCCGCACTTCTGTCGGTGTGCTATAGGGCAGCTGACTGTACTGTAGTAGCGTCATTGAGTGTCCAAAAATCGATATATAAAACCCCTGCATTATTGTTATTATTTTTGTTTGATGACAGGTTTTCTCTCTGGACAAAGCGGATGCCTTTCAGGACTTCTACAGCCCGTTTAAGTCAGACGTGAAGAACAACATGCTGGAGCGTTGTGCGGAGCAAATAGCCACGCTGTGTGCCACGCTGAAGGAATACCCTGGGGTTCGCTACCGAGTGTGAGGCCACTGGACACTCCACACCACTCCACAATCGTTAGGGTCATTTACTTAAGCCCTTTTCCCACCAGCCCTACTCTACTCTACTCTACTCTACATGCCGAGATTTGTATCTATGTGTTATAACTGCTGCTGGAAGCCATGGTTACCAAGGATATTTCCTTGGTAACTGAGTAGGGTAGAGTCGAGGTGAGTAGACTCTATTTCCACCAACAAGTAGTGCTGGTGAAATGGGGCTTTTGTTCTCAAAGCAGTTCTGCACAGTCAGGCTCATGACTCCTATAGTAGCTGAAATGGATTTGAAATTAAACTAGAATTAAATGTATTTGTGTAAAAAAAAGTTCTAAATGATCTGATATGTCTGTAGCCTGTTCCTGGGTGTGTTATTGCGGGCGCACAACAGTTCTATAAATGTTTTATAAATAAAACATAAACAAACAGACAGAGACAGAGGAAACTGGTTGTTGTTGTTACAATGGTTTCACAAATAGCGCCTCAGAAATAGTTGAATGCAACTGAATAAACCCGGAGTTGACGTGTTATTTTGGTTTATTTCAGGGAGTACAAAGATTGTGGAGTCCTGGCACAGATGCTGCAGGAGAAGCTGGACGGATACAAAGCAGATGATCCCACGATGGGAGAGGTATGCACTGTGACTCATGTGGAGGGGGAACAAGCACACTCCCAGCCGGGCGCCCTGACTATAGTATGGACTCTGGACTTTTTTTAAGTTGCCATATTTCGCTTTTCTTCATTTTTCATGTGTGATAATAATTTGGGTGATACACCATACAAAACTCAAAACGTATTATAAACTATAGCCATTTCGTGCACAGAGGTCACCTCATGTGAAATGCTTGGATCTGTGCTCCTCTGCCTGTGAGTCCGCCTCCCCCCGCCTGCGCGGTGACGTAGCCTCTCGCTATTTTCCGAGATAAACAAAAGCTAACTGTACAGCTTTTGCTGTTAGTCATGTTTCTGAAAATAAACTTTTTCCCACAATGTAAACCCGTTACATAGAGCCCTCTGTCTTCGATCCAGAATCAGACCCTAATTATTTAGTTCACAGTGACATACAGCAAGTTAGTCGCATCGCATTACACTCACAGACTGAGGCTCCCGTTAGTGTCTTTTATGTTGGAAATAACACCAGGTTTTCCAGATCAGCTTTTGAGTAGGTCCTGTTCCAAGGTAACCGTAGTTCTGGAACAGTCTTTGTTAGTGTCACCGTCACTCGGGACTATGCGAGTTTTGTGGCGGATTTCAGACCCGCGAATATGAGGCAGATCCCCGTGAACAAAGTCCGTCCCTATTCTCTGTCTTCAGGCCAAATCGGCACATATTTACACAAACAACACATTTTCTCCAAGTTGACATGAAGTTGACATAAAAAAGCACAGACACTTATTTACTGTCTATGGACCACACACTGGACTCGTAGAGAGGCTGCATGGTTGGTCAGTTTCTCCCTTCTGTCAATCACCTCTTGGAGGCTGGCTTTTGACGTCATAGATTGTGCCACATTACGATCTGAAACAGCTCGTTTCTGTGCCTCTTGAGAATGAAAGAGAAAGATCGCTCTCCAACTAAAGCTTGAGGGAATCAATTAAAGAACTACTCTGGGCATGTGTATGAAGGCCAAATAGCACTGTAATCATGTTTAAACCAGAGAAAAGTCAAAAAGTGTAATATGGGACCTTTAATGTGAATCAATAAACATGGCACCTGTTATCCAGTAGTAGTTAAACTTAGAGGCATGGCTAACTGAACAAACTTTCTCCTGCAAATTTGAAATTCACTTCAATGTAATTGTGTATCACCCTATATCACAACAGTAGCCGTCTCAGAGGACTTTATAAACTTTATACTTGTGTTGATTCAGGACTGTGGACTGAGGATGCTCCCAGGCAGGGAGGGCTGTACAGCCCACATAGTTTGGGCCTGGGGAGACCAGTCCACAGGTGCAGATAAAAGAGGCACCAAGGAAATTTCACAGTGAATCTTTTGGGAAAACATTGTGAAAAGCTTGCTTTCCATTGTCAGTCAAATTCAAAATCAGAAAAAAAACGCTTTTTAATAACTACATCTTATTTATGCTTAATAAATGTTGAAATAACGATTAATTAATTATTATTAAATTAATCATGAACAATTCACTATTTAAGTGTGACCAACACTTAATAACTACTTACTTAATACTGCAATGCATGACTTTTTAGTCAATACTAATAGTTAAAAGTTTTTGACTAACGTTTTTGTATAACAATATTAAGCCATGAGACATGAATACACAATATATATTTATCTTTTAAATTGCTTTACAAAGCTATATCAGAATCAGAATCAGAATATTTTTTATTGCCATGTAAGTAACATGAAGTCACTGACTTGGAAATTGCTTTGGCTCAGTGCAACAGTCAGAGAGAGATAATAAAAAATAAAGAATAGAAAAACTTCTAAGGAATACATTTAAATTTAAAATAGAGTTACACATGGTGCACACAATGTAAGGTGACAGTAGTACAGTGAAGTAAAGTGACGTATGATGGGCAGTAAAGTGACTTTATAAAGGGCGGGGGGACAGGTTAAGAAGTGTTCAAGAGTCCAACAGCAGAGGGGAAGAAACTGTTCTTGTGGCGGGAGGTTCTAGTCCTGATGGACCGCAATCTCCTGCCGGAGGGGAGTGGTTGGAATAGTCCATGTGTAGGGTGAGAGGGGTCGGCTGTGATACGACCAGCCCGGCCTCGAGCTCGGGCGACGTACAGGTCCTGCAGCGATGGAAGGCTGCGGCCAATCACTTCCTCTGCAGAGCGCACGATGCGCTGTAGTCTCTGTTTGTCCCTGACTGTGGCTCCAGCGACCCACACGGTGATGGAGTAGGTGAGGATGGACTCGATGATGGCCATGTAGAACTGCACCAACATCTGTGCAGGCAGCTTGGCTTTCCTGAGCTGCCGCAGGGCCATAACAATGAAAAAATAAAAGGCCTCCAAATTGGCCCCATGAATTAAATACACATGTAAACATGAACAGTTCCAGTGAGGAGCATCATCTTCGAACAGATGAACACACTGTACAATGGCATATACTAGGGCTGGGCGATATGGCTGAAAACTAGGGGTGGGCAACAAGGGCAAAAATAACATGGATCTATTAAAATAACTGGATAGGGTATTACTAGCTTACAGCTGGTCCCACCCATGGGCACAGGGGGCGGCCGTGGTACTGCAAACTAAATTCACGTGGGCTACCATAAAAAAGCCCCATAGAACTCAATGTAAATTAAAACAGCTGGACCTCAGCTGACAGAGAACCTACAGCTTTCAGAAATATCGGATTTTGTGGGGATTTTTGTGTCCCTTGTCATCCTGAACTTATTTTCTTCTTAAATCCTTCTGTTTTCTTTAAATCCACACTTTACTGCCACAAACTCTGCTCCTTTCCTTCCCGCTCTGACTCCGCTCTGCTGCTGTTCTGATCAGCAGCTCTGATTGGTCAAAGCGCAGCCGAGCCCCTCTGTGCACGTGCATGAAAGCCACACACACGTATTTGGCGCAACGCATCATGGGAGCTCGTCCAGGAGGACCAGATGATGCCCAAATATAGGCGAGTTCTGCTAATCTCCCGGTCTCCATGAAGTCCCATGCGCTACTGAGCACAAGCCATTCATTTGAATAGGGCGCCATCTTGGATCACCGGGGCTTTAAAAATAAATATCTCAATATTTTTTTCCCTACTCCCGATTTCCCAACTCCCAATAATGCTGCCAGGGCAGCAAAACATTACAGATTTTGTAGATCAAAATCAAAAAGCAGCTTTATATTTTTAAAGTGCTTCACACATCTTTGCAAAACATGCGCAAACATATATTAACATTAAAAATCAAATTCAATTAACACGGAAAGAACACTGTGAAGAATGGAGAGTTTATATTATGGTTGGGGACACTATCGACAGACGCCGGTTAGAGAATCTTCAATCAGCTTTATAGGAGGATCTTGAATGACGTCGTTGTTTATAGTTTTTCCACGTCGGCCACGTGACCGGGTGGTAATACAGCATAGAAAGCTACCTGGATGCTAGAGAGTTACCTATTTTTTGACGTTTGGAGTGAGGGTTTACTAAATCAAATGGTCCATTCTTGTTGTGTTTGTACGGCCCGCTGGGGACAGATTAAGTTTTTTTCTAATTCTTTTGGAAAAGAACAGCAAAAAAGGGCTGTGATTGCCCTTTTATGCGGTTACCTACGGTAAACGTAGACCGGAAAGCCGGGGTGATGAGGGGATCTATGGGAAACTCGCCTGTATTTGGGCATTGTCTGGTCTTCCCGGTTCTGCGCAGTGGATGATCTCCCATAATGCGTTGCGCCAAACACGCGTATGTGGGTCTCACACCGGGTCACACGCACGTGCACAGAGGAGCTCGGCCGCGCTCTGACCAATCAGAGCTGCTTATCAGAGCGGGAGTTAGAGCGAGAGCCAGACGAGCAGAGTTTGTGGCACTAAAGTGTGGATTTAAATGGCCATGGCCATGGCGCCGTAAAGATGGCGCCGTGGCAAGAGCTCTGGTGTGTGTCGTCTGGTGCACACCGGGGTAGTCTTGCACAGTTTTTCCAATGTGGTTTTACTGCAAATGGCAAATAAATGAATCTGAATCTGAATCTGAATCTGAATCTAAAGAAAACCGAAGGATTTAAGAAGAAAAAAAGTTCAGGATGACAAGGGACACTAAAATCCCCACAAACCTTTATGAAAGCTCTGTCAGCTGAGGTCGAGTTGTTTTAATTTACATTGAGTTCTATGGGGAAAATTTCTGGGTAGCCCACGTGAATTTAGTCTGATTTAGTCTGCAGTACCGCGAGAATCCCCCGAGCACATGAGTTCTTCAGCTCCAAGCTAGTAATACCCTATCCAGTTATTATAATAGATCCATGTTATAGATCCATGGGTGAGGCGTTCAGGTACAGACGTAAAGGTGAGTGTTCAGACAAACACATCCAAAAAGGCTCAATATTTACTTAAATGTACAAATAAAGCAGTGATTGGCTTTTTAGGCACACATTTGACGAATGAGCATTTTTTATTTTTTTTTTATTGACGATAATGCAAAAAAGCATATCGTCAAATTCGTTTTTGTGATATTATCCTCTACAATACAGTGTCTTGCGAAAGTATATACCTTTCAACATTTCGCCACATTTCAGGCTTCAAACATAAAGATATAAAAAATATTTTTTTAACAAATAAAAAACTGAAAAGTGGGGCGTGCAATATCATTCGGCCCCCTTGCGCTAATACTTTGTAGCGCCACCTTTTGCTGCAATTACAGCTGCAAGTCGCTTGGGGTATGTCTCTATCAGTTTTGCACATCGAGAGACTGGAATTCTTGCCCATTCTTCCTTGCAATACAGCTCGAGCTCAGTGAGGTTGGATGGAGAGCGTTTGTGAACAGCAGTCTTCAGCTCTTTCCACAGATTCTCGATTGGATTCAGGTCTGGACTTTGACTTGGCCGTTCTAACACCTGGATACGTCTATTTGTGAACCATTCCATTGTAGATTTGGCTTTATGTTTTGGATCATTGTCCTGTTGGAAGATAAATCTCCGTCCCAGTCTCAGGTCTTTTGCAGACTCCAACAGGTTTT